CTCCAGGGAGAATGTCCCTGTAATTGTCAATTCAATTCAATTCAAAACCTTTATTTATCCAGGTAAAATCCCATTGATCTCTTTTTCAAGGGAGACCTGCTTATTGTAAGTCGCTTTGGATAAAAGCGTCAGCTAAATGTAATGTAATGATTGTTTACTAGCACCATGAACGCCCCTTAACACCCTATAAGGGCAGGGTTGCAGATCATTTGACACTTCCTCAAGAATTAGTGAGATGTCTCTCCATCTGCCTCTGTACACACTAATGGCATTCGATCTCCCCCTTTCTCTCTCCAACGTGCTCCTCGCCAGGGGTGTCCTCTTTCGCCGCTGTTGTTCAATATAGCCATTGAACCTCTCGCTATCTGGCTCAAAAGCCATGATAGGTTTGAGGGCATTACGCGTCATGGCATGGTTCATAAACTGTCTCTATATGCTGTTGACCTTCTTCTTATGATCTCGAACCCCTTATCCTCTCTCCCCCCCATACTGTCGATTTTAGATCAATTTGGCCGTGTATCAGGTTACAAACTAAACATTCAAAAGAGCGAAGTATTTTTTGTAAATAAAATGGCAGAGGCTCTTCCCCAATCCCTATTCCCCTTTAAAAGGGCTGTGGAGGGGTTCAAATACTTGGGGGTGTTTGTTGCAAACTCTTTTAAAGACCTGTTCCCTAAAAGCTTTCAGCCTCTACTAGATAAATGCAAAGCCGATACGTCTAGGTGGGCCTCCCTTCCCCTGTCTCTTGCAGAAGAATTAGTGAGATGTTACCAAAAGAAACTAGTCAAATTGAGTTAAATAAACGTACATGTTCTTTAAGCTCTTGTTTCCTTGCGTTGGACAACAATTTGTGGACTTTGTAAACAAGGTGTTTATTTCTAATCTTGGTAAGAGTACGCTCAACCATTTCTAAAATGATCTGCTGAAAGAAGAACAGATATAAGAAAACATTGGTGAATCCCAGAAATCAATGCACGCTTACAAAATAACAAATCTTGGATTCAAACAACAATAATAGGACATCTGATAATGGTATATCGCTTCCTGCTTCCCTCAAAGTGTTCATACCTTCTTTTTTTTAAACTCTTCCAAGCGTGAGAAGTCATGACTCAGACTTGTTGCACCATGCTTTTACAGAAAACATTTGCTCTACAGAACAAACATGGTTGTAGTTTAAATCAAAGCCAACAGGAGGAGTGAGGTGTGACGACGTTGGGAAATGATTAACGTTTTTTACAGAGTAACAGACAACAGTCTGAGACCTCGGGGTTTCACCGGTTCCCTGAATGCCTCAATTACTTGTTATTTCCTCTTCCACTGAAACAAACTGGTCGAGGCTTGTAGAAACTCTTATACTTTATCAGAGGTGGGAAGTAGTGGAGTACAAATACTTTGTTACTGTACTTAAGTACATTTTTCTGGTATCAGTACTTTACTCCACTACTTATTTTTCTGACGACTTTTTACTTTCTACTTCTTACATGTTGAACTCAAATACCTGTACTTTCTACTTCTTACATGTTGAACTCAAATACCTGTACTTTCTACTTCTTACATGTTGAACACAAATACCTGTACTTTCTACTTCTTACATGTTGAACACAAATACCTGTACTTTCTACTCTTACATGTTGAACCCAAATACCTGTACTTTCTACTTCTTACATGTTGAACTCAAATACCTGTACTTTCTACTTCTTACATGTTGAACCCAAATACCTGTACTTTCTACTTCTTACATGTTGAACTCAAATACCTGTACTTTCTACTTCTTACATGTTGAACTCAAATACCTATACTTTCTACTTCTTACATGTTGAACACAAATACCTGTACTTTCTACTTCTAACATGTTGAACACAAACACCTGTACTTTCTACTTCTCACATGTTGAACTCAAATACCTGTACTTTCTACTTCTTACATGTTGAACTCAAATACCTATACTTTCTACTTCTTACATGTTGAACTCAAATACCTGTACTTTCTACTTCTTACATGTTGAACTCAAATACCTGTACTTTCTACTTCTTACATGTTGAACTCAAATACCTATACTTTCTACTTCTTACATGTTGAACTCAAATACCTGTACTTTCTACTTCTCACATGTTGAACACAAATACCTGTACTTTCTACTTCTTACATGTTGAACTCAAATACCTGTACTTTCTACTTCTTACATGTTGAACTCAAATACCTGTACTTTCTACTTCTTACATGTTGAACTCAAATACCTGTACTTTCTACTTCTCTAATTTTCCAAACAGCTGGTTCCTTTAGTCTGAATGTGTGTTTGGTGCGTGATCATTATTCTTTAGAGTCATTGCGTGCCTATTGATTTGAACACGATCCGTGTATCCATCATTTCCTGGTCTTCTCTAAAGAAGAGGGACCAATGGAAACGTTGTCATGTTGCCGTTGTTCAGCATGGAAACATTCATTAGCTAACAATGACATTATTGTTCTATTCATATAAAGGGAGGTCAGGTACTCTTTAAAGCAGCTGCTAGTTATGGGTACTTTTTACTGAAGTACATTTCAAAGCCTCTTTACTTTCACTTGAGTAAAGAAGTTTAGTCAGTACTTCTACTTTTACTAGAGTATTTTTAAACACGAGTATCTGTACTTCTACTTGAGTAAAGGGTGTGTGTACTTTTGCCATCTCTGTAATGCGTTTTCTTTCTGGGATTAACATGTACTCAACAACAATATGAAGTGCTGCAGATTGTCTCTGACATTTTACGATGTGATTCAGAGAGTCAATCAGAGGAAAACCTGGCGCTTTCTTTGAGTGCATGAGAGATGACTGGATAATGTTGGAGGTGTTCAGCTGGCACCAGCCTGCCTGGATCCAGTTCATCGACTCTCACAGCGATAAGATACACAGGCAGAGCTTTGACTCCGGCTCTGTTTTGGTGTCTCGCTTCAGACCATATTATCCAATTATTAGAATACAGGTAATGACATTGTAGCACGGTTTGAGAAATGAATGTCCACTTTGTACTGAATAATCTTGATTTAGACTTTTTTTACAATATCTGTAGCAGCCTACATGTGATTATCCTTTACTAGATCCAGAATCTAAAGATAATTAGCATTAGCAGCTTATCATAATTTACAATATGATAAGGCATGCATCTTTCCTCTCTTTACCATTTGAGTTGTTTTGGTTAATCCTGTAATGGATCTCAACAACATATGCACATGTATTTTATATTTACTTTTCTCTGTCTTACTTAAAAAATAAAACCCTAAACGTTCTGACTTTCAAATGAAAAGTGTCTTTGTGCTCCTGCAGCTTGGTTCTTGTTACCATGTACAGACACAACCACAGATATTAAATAATACAGAGCCGACACACAGTTAGATAAGCAGGTCTGAGATTTGGTTCTGCTGTAGCACCTCACAAATTATCACGCTGGCTGTGAAGACGAAGCGTTTCTCAGAATTCTCTCTAATAATTAATTTGTGAAACCTGTTCGGTTGCTGAGACAACACAAACACACACGCTCTCAATAATATAATTTTTCTTTTATGGGCTAAAGTATTGAGAGTGAAATGTCAAATGACACCATCACTGACCTTTAAGATCACGTCTATAAATATTGACCATTAGGCGTCACACTTTCCAAACAGAGAGAGAACACAAAAGGGGAATTTCTAGATAAGGAGATGATAAAAGAGGCACCTGTTAAAAGGTTTGACACTCACAATGAACTACTGATTTTTTTTCATTATTTAAACAGCTCAAAATGTCATTAAGATTGCAATGACATGCTCTGTGTGTTAGGGAGTCTTTGCAAGAAAGTAACTTAAAGGGGCCCTTTTACATTATACTCATTTTCAGGTTCATATTTGAACTGTTTGTCTCAACACGTCTCCATGCTCTAATGTTCAAAAAGCTCTTTATTCTTCTCATACTGCCTGTGCTGCAGCACCTCTTGTTCACCCTCTGTCTGAAACCACAGCCCAGTCTGCTCTGATTGGTTAGCTGGCTGGCTCTGTTGTGATTGGTCAACAGCTCAGAGATGTCCCGCCCCTTAGCCTATCACGTACAATGTGTTGAGGTGCTATCTAAAAGAAGTGTGTATTTTTTGTATTAAAAAGGCTTGTTTCTATGACTGTTATTTGCCCTGTGCATTTCAGAGCCTGAAATCAATATTTTCATAGCACATTTTAACCCAACTTTACTATTCGATTGACTTTCACTGCTCTTATCGTTTCATTTCTCTTGTTGTCAGGGAACAGGCCAATAGACTGTTCTTACCTACAAGAAAGTAATGTACTGATATCGTTCATAAGGCGTTCCCCTGTGAAACCAGAAGTGCACGTTGACCCTGTTATGTAACTTCCGTACTTAAGTAACACTACTACCCTTGTCGTTTTAACCCAAACCACAAGCTTAAATCTAGCAAAGTACATTTGTTGCCTAACAGGTTCTGCATTACAGTGTTTTGTAAACCACAAATAATGACCGTTACATTTTCATTAGATATCAAAACGTACCATTGTATAAACAAACATACAAATTGGTAGAGACCAAAAACCGAGCTAAAAAGATAATATTAATACATTGCATTTATGAAGCACTTTATCAGGTGCAAAGGCTCTTTACATAAAAATAAGATGTAAGGTCAAATTAAAATCGAGCAATAAAACAATATTTAAAACAAGGACACAACATTAATCACACATTAAAAGCTAGTCTGAAGAGGTGAGTTTCGGTCAGTGTTTTGAAGGTGGGGAGGTCAAAAAGAGATTGAATATGGGATTTACATTCATCAGTTGGACCCATAACAACATAAACAACAACTAAACAACTCTGAATGATTGATAATGCTGCTGTTACTGTGTGATAAGCATATCAGCATCAGATGTGGGATAAACATCTGTGAAAATCTGCTTTACAGTGCAAAAAATGACCTTTTCTTGTACCTGTATTATTACATGTGGTCATGCTAAGTGTCTATAACTTATGGAAACATACCTCTCTGCAGACTTCAGTGACCAGCTGCTGGAGGTGGTTGGTCTGGAGGGGGCGATCGAGATGGGACAGATCTACACCGGACTGAAGAGTGCCGGACGCAGACTCGCTCAGTGTGCCAACGTCACCATCAGGTAACTCCTCCATCTTTCCCCACATGTCATCCATCTTCCTTCCGTCAGCCAACTGGAAACTTTCTGCACAAAACAATCTCCGTTCTCTACATGTATGATCAAAAATGTATTCCTTTTGAGTGTTTTTGTGCAAGGGGTGAAATCCCTGCAGCATCTAAACAATAACATGCCCCTGTACCTGATCAATTATACATTTCATATATGCATGCTTTACTGAGAGAGCTGCTGGAGGCGAGGGCGAGGTCACAATCACAGGATGAGAGATGATCCGTCTGTGGTGTTGAGTTTGGATTTGGATCCAGCATCGTAATGGCTCTCTTATCCTCCTTCCTCTTGTGCTTCAACAAAGAGCACTCAGCTTTAAGGTGTCTTATTTTTAGCTGTCTCTACTTTACTTGAGGATGCAGCTATTACATTTACAGGAAATGGAATAGGTTCAATTCAATACAATAAGAATATTGTGTTAGGAAGCCGGTAAAGTCTTCAACAAAATGAATCAGACATGTGCGTTCGCTCATACAGCTTCACCAGGTCATCTCAAGATAGCTTCAGAGTCACAGTGTATGTGTGAACAGGGATTTGGTCAAATTGTTTTTAGCCTAAAAAATCCCGGAAAGTACTCTTGCATCGTTGATCCTTTGCTGCCCCTACTGGCCGGTTAAGAGAGTTACAGTTACAGTCAGTGACGGTATAACGCACCCAATAAAATCATTTTTCCAACAATTAAAATCACTGCAACCACCAGAGGTCCTGGAGCGTACAGTCATACAATGAACAAATCTATTAGGCTCCAATAGTAGGCGAGTTAAGCTACAGGCAGTGGTTGAGTTTCTGATCCGACGTTTTTTATTCAAAGAAAGTGGTTTTGTTTCAGATGTTTTTGTTATTCCTCTCAGCCTATTACAGTGAGCCGTTTACATGTCATTCTCTCACTTGTTGTACAAACTGACCCGACTATTTTCCTAGTCTCTAATTAAAAAAGCATTCATCTCAGTCATTCTCCCATACTGTGTTTCTCTATCCAGAGAGGCATGCATGAAAGTCTTAAACCAACTGTGTGTGTGTGTGTGTGTGTGTGTGTGTGTGTGTGTGTGTGTGTGTGTGTGTGTGTGTGTGTGTGTGTGTGTGTGTGTGTGTGTGTGTGTGTGTGTGTGGTGTGTGTGTGTGGTGTGTGTGTGTGTGTGTGTGTGTGTGTGTGTGTGTGTGTGTGTGTGTGTGTGTGTGTGTGTGTGTGTGTGTGTGTGTGTGTGTGTGTGTACGTGTACGTGTACACATACATACAGTGGGTCTGTGAGTTTAAAGAGTGGGGGCCTGTCTGGGAATGGGTCTCATGGGAACAAAGGGTGCAGTGTGTGACCCTGTCCTGGGGCAGTGTGAACAGGCCTCTCGTGCCTCAGAGGTGTGTGTGATCTGACCTTCACAACCTCACCCTCTCTCTCTCGCCCTGCCTCCCCCCCCATCACCCTCTCTCTCTCTCTCTTTGCAGGACGTCCCGGCGGCTGCCCATGCAGATTGATGGCGAGCCCTGGATACAGACCCCCTGCACGGTGAGAGTTCAGTCAATTATTTTCAGATACATACAGTGGAGGAAATAAGTATTTAATCCCTTGCAGATGTTGTAAATGTGCCTACTTACAAATAAATTAACAGTCTATAATTGTAATGGTAGGTTTCAGTGGTGAACCGTGTCTATCACAACTGGACCTTCTGTAGACACACCCCCCCCCCTCTCCGCGGCATTATAATGTCCGTCTTGAAAAGGGTACTCACAACGATTCCGCAAAACAACTTCATCTTCACCTGTTGCACTTGTCATTTCAATGTTAACAACAATAAAACGGCATGAATTGCTTCGTCGCATTCATCTAGCTCCTCTGTCTCGAGCCAGTTAACTAGCGGGCCTTCTAGAATACCCTGGAACCGAGAGGAACTCTGAAAGAACACGCCCATTGGCTACAAATCAATATCTGATTGTTTGATCAAACTGTCAGTCCAAACGTACGCTCTCATTCAGTGCAACGGCCAGGGCATTCGATCAAGGATGTAGAATACCTTGGTTGAAGGATATTCTACATTACATTACATGTCACTTGTTAGACGCTTTTATCCAAAGCGACTTACATACTCAATACTGTGGGCAATCCCCACAGGAGTAATTTGGGGTGAAGTGTCTTGCCCAGGGACACAACAACATGCTGACTGCAGTGGGGTTTGAACCTGTGACCACCTGATCCGAACACCAATGCACTAGTCCACTGTGCCACACGCCTCCTCTACCCAGAGATCCAGAACAAGATCTGATTGGTTGCTTTCTTTTCTAACACAAAACCACTGAAATGCGTAGTGCATGGTCCGCGAAGGACAAACAAATCAACGTAACACTGTAATATTACAGATCAACAACACAGATACGATTCTCATTTAATATACATTTTATTTATATAATGAAATCGATTTTTTGTTTGTTTTATCTGAGTGTTCCAGGGTATTCTCTGAATACCTTGAAGGCCCTGACGGTTCGCCACTGGTAGGTTTATTTGACTAATGAGAGAAAGAATATCAAAGAGATACAGACCCCCTGCACGGTGAGAGTTCAGTCAATTATTTTCAGATGCATAGGTCCATGAACACGACCACAACAACACAGGTAGAATCAGGTAAAATCCCCTTTTAGAAATCATAAGAACACTGTTTTTAGAGGTAGATATTGTTATTCTGCACACAATAGCAGATTCTCAACAGTTGCTTTAAGACAAGATACTGCACCCCTAATTGCAAGATACTGAACTTCATATTGTGCGATACTGAACCCCGTATCGTAAGAAACTTAAACCCAAATTACTTAAGCCACTCCCCCAAAATAAAATAAAAACATATCATAATAAAGGTTTTCAAAGAACATGGCAGCAGCTGGTGGATGACTTCACGCAATGATTGGATATAGAATATAGTCCTCCTCAATCATACTCAAAGACCAAAGAGACCAATATGTAGGTTTTTTGTCCCAGAGAAACACATTTGTTCTGTCTTCTAAGGGTCCTCTTGATGCCATAGGACAGCCATGTATTATTGAGAGCCAATATAACCAATGCTATGTGCTGCACCAAGTGTTCCCCACCTTTTGCCCAGGTCTCTGTTTATTTCCTTTCTTCTTTTGTTCACACTCCTCCTCTGCACATCCTCAGCCTCGACGTCCAGCACCTATATTCTTCAAAGAAAAAAAGGAAATCAACTATTATGCATTTGTCCTCACGATATTTCATATATAGTGTAGGCGGAGGATAGAAAAGGTTTTTCTTGTGTTATGTAGGTTAGTTACAAGGCCGCAGTGAGGGATTTTATAACAGTCTGCGGTGAAGAGCAGGACTTCATGAAAACACAGATACTGAGAACTTGCTGTATCAGCCATGGGAAACTCTATGATCATTATTGCATGGGAACATTTTAAATATACCACAGTATACAATAGTTAATTATACTTGAGGTAATAGTTATTTTACTGTGAAAACAGGTTTACTAACATATTATTAGAAGAATTATTATTGTGTAATGATTGTATTACGTTTGTTTTTGCACACCATAACATTTGATATTCTATATTGGGTACTTGTTAATGATTACTAAATTATTTGAAATACATATAAACACACTACATGAATATATAGACCAGAAACTAATTATAAACCACTGACAAAGTACGAGCTGTCAAAGATAATGATGTTACAAAATATTTTATAATCCATTTAACTTAAAGGGGACCTATCATGCAAAATGCACTTTGTGATGTCTTGTATACATCAACATGTGTCCCCGGTGCGTCGGGGAACTCACGCAGCGTCAGAAAATAAAACCCTCTCTCTTTTCCTCCGTACCCAAATCTCTAAAAACGGGGGAACAACGGAGCTGATCCAGATTTGCGTCCGATATGACGTAATATCTGAAATGTGGACCCACGGCCCAATCAGAAACGTTGCTATCAGAAACAATGCCCGACTGTTTTGGACGTAATATGGTCGGTATTTACATTAGCATCGCTAACACTCAGAGCTAACCTGTACTGGAGAGAGCATGTGTGTGAAGAAGCAGGAAATAAAAAGGAACTCACCTTGTGGTATAACCGGCAAAAGAGAAAGCCTTTGAGCTCCAGACTGTTTCAGAGAGAACCCTTAATAATCCATGATATGGCGTTTCATCACGGCAGCATTTAGTTTAGACAGTAGCTGCCGGGTCCCGCATGAGCTCAGCCCCCTCCTTTTTTTATCAGTTGTTATTTTTTTTAAAGCTTTATACCCAAAATCAGCACTTTTGAAACAGGAAGTGAAATAGAGGGATATGAGGCATGGTTAGAATGGGTGATCTGTTATGCTATTGCCTAAAAATAGCATGATAGGTGCACTTTAAGGTTGATTATTATAATATTCAGTTGCAACTGATTGCTATCCAAACAAATGTTCTCATATTTTGGTTGTTATTTTATAGTTTTACAGTAATATAACTATCAACTAAAGTTGTATAAATGATAATAGGTATCAATTGAAAAAAAGTACAATGTTATTACTGATGTTTAATTATTTATTTCCTTTTAACCGTATTGTTAATCATACATTTCTGTCATGGATAGTTTTTTGCTTATTTTGTGCTTTTTATAGTTATTTATTTGTTGTTGTATTTTTCTTAATTATGTCAGCTATTTACTTTTTTTTTTAGTATTTTATAAATTATTTAAGCTTTTAATTGTTTTCATTTTGTTTTTTTAAATGAAAATATTAAATATTTAAATGAATTTATTATTGTTTTGTATTTATTATTATTTTTTATGTATTGTGCTTTAATTTAGTCATAATCTTTAAGTAGAGAGGATGTGTGTTTTGCTGCCATCTCCATTTTAGAATTGTTATTATCTCTTTGTTGCATGAGAAAATAACAAATGTTACCGTATCCATACGTTAACCTTCTCTATCTGATTCTTACAGATCAAGATCACCCACAAGAACCAGGTCCCCATTCTGCTGGGCCCTCCTCAGAAGACGCCGTTCTTCTTCTTCAAGAAACGCAACCACAGCCGCGACTAGGACACACACACACACACACAGACACACATATACACAAACACACACATGCCACCCACTGTATAGGCAGCTCCACTGTTGGGAGTTTAAAGTGGGATCACATCGTGGAACATTCCCAAAGTCAGGACGCCTACTGACAATTTATTCCCAGAGGAACCTTCAGTGATGAAAGTGAAAACTCTCAGTAACCAGTATCGACCTTTTCCTGTGTAACAAATCATCTACTCGCAAAACCTCCATCCCAAATACAAGGATTTTCGTTTTTCTCGGCCCAAAAAACTCAGCGAGACCTGCACTGCCTGATAAACAAAACTCTGTCTGCTGGGAGTCCCTTGCAAAGAAGTATAGAAAGTGAAATTGAGTTAAGGAAAGCAGGTTGTAAGATGGGAAATAAAGAGCTCCAACATTACAGTAAGCAGAAGTGGCAGTAGTCCTTGTTGTTTGCAAGGCCGGTGAGTAAATAGAGATCCACCTCTCGGTTGAAACACACCGAATGAATAATGAAAAAGCGGCGGCTTGTAAGAGCTCTCGCTGCAGGGCCTCCCCACAGACTGACAGCGGAGAAAAGAGGAGAGCCCTCATCCATTATTGACTTGTTTTGTCTGTGGGGTTGATGGCAGTGGGGCGTATGTTATGAGTTGAAACCTGCAGGGAAGGATCTTAGCCCCTTTAGCATCACTGGCCTACAAAAACCCATCCTTTAAAGCGTATTTACACTTTGTGGAGGATCTGCTGGAAGACTTCAGGCAGAGGAGGTTCCTGTCTCAATGTGCACAGATTTCACTGTATAAATTAGTCTAGATGGAAAGTAGAGATAGGAGAGATTGGGGTTTGTTTTTGCGTTCTTAAGGAGAGACACTACAGGTAGAAAACACGTTTTATCATGCACTCAATTTTACGATTTTGGACTACTTTTGCTTTCATAACCTGTCTTCTTTTAGGCAAGCAGAGACATACACATCCAGGTGTTTCTTTAATTAATTCTATGGATTCTCCTGAATTAACAAGAAGTTAGTATCACATAATCCTCATTTGCATATTCAAGCAGGACATTTGTGGGAACTGGATCATGGTGATATCTATTCAAATTACTTCCAATTTCTCCTGTAGTGTTTTGCAAAATATAGGAATTTTACCATACATATCTTTCTGTTTTCCAAAAATAATGTAACTTTATTAACGTTTACATCCACCAAACTTTCCATTTTCATCCCTGTCTATGTTGTGAAGCTTTTTACCGAGAGCTGTGTTCATATGTCAATCAGAGCCTGATGTATTGAGCTTTTAATTCCTGAAAACATGTCGAAAAATTATTGGAAGAGCTTTCCGAAAATCCCTCTGTAAAAACCTTTAGATCCAAGTGAAACAAGATTTTTAAATCTGGGTTTATCCAAGGTTTAGATTTATGCAAATAAGCACATATTCAATAACATAATGCCTCATATGCATATTTAAACTTATCAGAAAATGTGTAATACAAAGAATATCATCCTAATGTAAGCAATCAACTGGGGAAGTTTCATGATGACATGTATTCATTATATGTTTCCACTGTAGTGTCTCTCCTTAAGAAACCCGAACAATCCTAATTGTATGAACAACAGCTCCTGTGCACCGTGTGCCGAACAACACTTCCAGCGGGACAGAATTTAAATAAATCCTCTCAAGGGTATAACAGCAGCGCCCTGGGGTTTTATTTACCAGAGCTTTGACAGAGGAACTAAATGTATCGCTCTATTTCAGGGTCTATCTCTCCTCTAGTGAAACTCTACGCCTAATTACCGTGTCAAACATCAACTCACAATGTCAAGTGTGCAAATCCCAGAGCCGTCCCTACTGCTTTAAAGCATTCATGATGAGTTGCACCAAATTAAATGGGATTGTAATGGAGGTAAAAGGCATGTTAGGAGGACTTATGTTTGATGGAAGATATCATTCAGAGTGTAATTCAGTGTTTTTAAAGAATGTATCCATATTACTGTCCCCACAATATGGCAAATATAATACAGTGTGTGCAGAAGGCGTATATGTATATTTCTGGAAAGTAGGAGTAGCTCACATATACTGTACACGCGAATGTGTTTTTAATATATCATTGTTATTAATGTGGAAATCTTAGCTTAGAGGAGTTCGGATCAGTATTCTTCGCCGTGCCGAGCCGCTGCAGTCTCTCTCTCTGAAGGCAGTTCCCCGCTTTGTCTGATGCTCATTGCTTTGGATCTGTTTAGTTTTGTTTCATCTTGGCTTAATCTTTGCTTGAGGAAGAAAACAAGCACAACAAATGCATAAAAATTACAGAATTTTTGGCAAAATTATCTCTCACGTTTTATACATGGTCTTCGTCAGTAAATGGAGTCATTAAAGTGTTTGCATCCCGAAAAGCTAAACACAATTTAAGCAGATATATAGTGGTAGAGGCGTTTATATGTTGCCCAAAAAGAAATTGCAGTAAAGAAATGTAATGATGTGTGTTTCAAGGTAATTTAACAACAATAATTGACGGTCTTTGAGCTAAATGGTATTGTGGCCACAGTGACGCGTCCTAAAACCCAGATGTAAACTCCTTCCGGTTCCTTCGACAAAAACGCAATGCAATTTCATAGGATTTTGGAAAATAGCTGGAAATAAGGTCTGTGGTTGAAACGCATTCAAGAGACGGATCACGTTTTGTTCAGCCGGATAATCACCACATGTCTACCCTACTTTTATCATTTTTGAATCATAAATCTAGTCGCCAGAAGCAAAATGCTAACGTTATGCTATAAAGGAACTACAGCAGGGTTGCTTCAACGTCACGCCAACTTAAGATCCATATTCAAACACACAGATTGTAAATTGTACGAGTTGAAGTGTTTGTTTGAACAGTTTGCAGGAGGCAGGCACTTGCTTTCAAGCAGAACAGGGCAAACAAACTTAGCGGAGTGTTTACATGTTCGGTGTAATGACGTAAAACGGCCTCGACAACTTCTGTAGTCCTATTCAGCCACTTGGTAACAACCATCGTTTTTCAGACACGTCAACTCTTCAGAAATCACCACTGGGGTCACTGCTGATGGATTTAATGTCGTAGAACAAAACGTGATCCGTGTCTCAACCACAGACCTTATTTCCAGCTATTTTCCCAAATCCTATGGAGAGATTGCATTGCTTTTTTTGTCGAAGGAACCGGAAGTGGTAAAATGCTAACTTGCTTCCGGGTTTTAGGATGCGTCACTGTGGCACTCTATGGTAATGCTAAAATGCTATCTTAATTAGGTGTGGTTCACCCTATTTTCCAGCTTGTTAGCATGATAATGTTTGCTAATTAGCACTAAACACATCGAAGCTTGTCATTATTTGTGTGGTCTTATGGGCTGTACCAAGTTACAAATGGCAGTCCATTCAATAGTTTGTAAAGACGTTAAGCTAAGATCCACCGATCTGAAGCTTGTTGTGGCGCTAGAGGAACAGGAGGATTTATCATCTGAGGACCAAGAATATTACATCCACTAATTGTTGAGTAATATGAATCGTGACCAAAGTGGTGGACTTGCCGAACAACATACAAATTGCCATACTTAAAGCCATGGATAGCTTAAAACTAAATGCAAGTTTATTCTTGAAATGTAAAATGTCCCACACAATGGATATCCTAAATAGACACATCAAAAATGATACATGCTGTTTTAAAAAAAGACAGAATATGAACTGACATAACCTCGCCTTTTCTTAACTCTCAACATCGATATTGGCAGCAAACGTAGTTAAAGAAATTAATGGACCTAGAAATGTTGTCACACACACTCACCCTAAAGCTATAAAAGCACCAAACCAGAGAAGCGTTGAAGTTCAACCTGCAGCAAGCTACCACGCAGTCCTTATGAAGAGCTATGAAGTTATTGCATCCCATTGCTGCCATACAGCATCCTGGCTACAGAAAAAACTATTATTGCGGCAACTGCTCTTTGCCAACCTTTTCAAAGACAAAAAGTTGTTGTTAAATGAACCATTGTGTGATTTGAGTTGGATGATTGTGGGAAACTGTCTGCTGTAAAGTGGGTTTTAACAGCAGGACGGAGAGAGACTGATGTAGCCTATGCGCTGACGGTTCAAACTGAGCTCCACTGTAGGGTCAGGCTTTACATGCCTTTATACCCTTTACCCTTTAAAATACACTGAGCCAGTACTCTTGCACCCAGGCCCCTTGATTAAAAACAGAGTATGGAGTTAGTCATGTGTCATTCGTACCCAAAAAAATAACAGAAAAACAGCATATCATAATATTTTCAGGTCACTAATGGAGCCTGGGCGCTAATGGCGCATTTCCACTGCAGCGCGTAGCACGGTTTAAGCGTGCCGTGCCAAACCCGGCCCGTTTTGTGTTACGTTTCCACTAGGGGTAGTTCCGGTTAACGGGTACTCGTTCACAGTTTTTCGTGAAAAATCGTGGTTCTTTCGGGCCAACAACCTTGCTGAATATGCTAAACGAGTGACGTGAGTGGCTACATCTACAACACAATGAACATATTTTACCATGATTTAATTGTAATACGCGTTTCAAAATGATGCCGAAGTAACAACATACTGATACCGGTTACTACAAACCATGAATTAATGCTTTGACATGTCTGCAGACAGACGGCAGGCGAAAAACCTTTTAAAATGCGTGTTTTCTGAATGGAGCTTGGCTACGCTAACGTTGTATATGCTCCGACCGTCCACACACACAACAACGGCCTATACAGACATAAATAAACCAGCGACTGTATTCGCCATGACACAGACAGTCTGTGGTTTGTACTTGTTTAACCTTTGTCTAGTTTCTGAACAGATATGAGGAGCTCTGAGTGCTAACAGCTAACGGCTAATGTAGGTTTTGTGGTTCGCATTGTAGATGACCTCACGTCTCCGCCTACACTGCGTTACTATAGTTACTGTCCGAGCTACTACTGTAATGGAAACGCAGCATAAAGTGAGCCTGGCCTACTAAGGCCTAACTATACCGTACTAAGCCGAGTGAGGCCCTGCAGTGGAAATGCGCCATAAGAGTACTCAGTGAGAAAAGAGTGCATGTTTACAGTAACTTTACATTTATTGAGAGAATTGTTTTAGACAGCTATATTACCAAGTGTATATATTTGTTTATAATATTTTATCTGAAGATGCATCACCGCATGCCTGCTGAGACAAAAGAAGAGTGAACAAAGAGTGTGGACTATTCAAACTTTGCTTAAAACCATTTACCTGATATATTTATTTCTTGTGGTTTCCTTTTTAAATGTTTTGTTGGCAGCTAGAAGAAGCTGTCTTGTTCCATTAAAACAAGGAAAAGAAAGTAGTATTCCCAGAGGAAGTTTCTAACATTACCACATCCATTTGTGATTTATTGTAGAATCAAAATGGCGGCAACATGCCTGCCTACACAGAGCCTGAGTGAGTGAA